GTCACCGCGGAGTGGCGGGGCGGGAACTCGCCTATTACCGTAAGAACGCGAGCGTTACGCCACCGCCACGCACCGCTGGGGAGGTAGGGGTCAACATGTCACAATATATATAATACTAAAATGGATTTTAGAGAGATAGGATGGGGTAGTATGGACTGGATTGATCTGGCTCAGGATAGGGACCAATGGAAGGCTTTCATGAACATGGTAATGGACCTTCAGATTTCATAAAATGTTTTGAAGTTCTCGAGTAGCTGCATGACTTTTGGCCTCTCAAGAAGGGCTCAGCTCAATGTGGAGTTAGTTACGTCCTTCCACCTTCATGATCGACCATGAAGATGGATGCACCATATACCTGTGATATGCCAGCAACAATGCCCATGCACACAAGGTACAGAGATCCACGAGCAGCAACAATGTCAACACTTAACCACTGTGAAAGCCTAAAACTGATGGTGAAAACATTCACCAGTCATTATTGTGGAGCAATGTTACTGAAAATTTGGACTTTCCAGCAACTTTTAGTAAAGGTCTCCAATGTTGAATTTTAAAAAATTTTGTCCTGTGGCTTAGGTTCTGATACTTTGCTGCAGATGGACCAAGGGACTTTCAAGTAAGGGGTTCCTTTTCTTACCTTGTAAATAATACCTAAAACTAAAACATTAATGCTCCTATTTGGAGGCAAATGATCAGACACACCATAAAAATGTCATGGATTCTGACTAAATTCAGTTTGCTTTACCTGGGAGCTGTTTGGTAGTGCTACAACTATAGGCTTCCCCTGATCTGTGGTTTCTGTTATTGCAGGATCCATTGGTATGTCTTGTAATAAATCAACACCTGTAATGCAACAAACCAGAATATTACTGTATATGGGCTGCTCAAGGCATAAGTGATGTAAGTCAATTTATTTTTTCTTTATGATGGAGTTAACACTTTTATCCACCCCACCTCATGTTTCATGTTACACAGGGTTATTCACTTGGAGTAGGTCCCAAAATATAAAACATTATAATTTACTGATGGAAATGGAACTTGGTAACATTATGTAATTTGCAACATTCGCCCTGCCTAGTTCATGCCATTTCCATCAGTCTGCTTGATTGCCACAAACTTTCTCATTATGCTGGAGGCAACGTTGGCCTGTGTGTACAGGCACAGGGAAACCAGTTACCTCCACGCCTTTTGACAGAGTTCATTTTACTAGTATACTTTACATATTAAGGAGCCGGGATAGCACAGTCAGTATAGCAACTGACTACAGGCTGGATGGCCGAGGGGTTGGAGTTTGAGTCCTGGTGGAGTCAAAAATATTGTCTTCTCCACATCCAGACCTGCTCTGGGACCCACCCAGTCTCCTATCCAGTGTGTACTGGGGGCTCTTTCCCTGGGGATATAGCAGCAGGGGCGTGAAGCTGACCACTCAACCTCCCAGGGCCGAGGTCAAGAAAACTTGGATCTATACATCCAATCCCCCATGTGTCTTCATGGCGTAGTGCTTAATTAGCTAAGCACAGGAACAACTTTACCTTTACTATATATATTAAAATAAAATGTGATTTCACCCTCTGAGTATATCTGATTTATTTCCGTTTCAATGATCAAATACTATTGTATCTGTGACAAGTTTAAGCCATAAGATGACCTACTGCCTTCAGTGGAAGAGCAAATATGAAAGGAAACTGCATTCTGCGTGTACCTAAGTGATTTGAAACATCTAGATCATTTAAGTATAATAATAAAATTTATATAGATTAAAATAAATGTTATATTTAAGTTCATTGATATGAGTAGCTGTTGGATCCAGTCTTGGACAGATTAGCACTCACTCATGTTATATAGTATAGACTCATACTTGTAGTGTCTGTGAAATATAACATAAATAATGTTTGAAGTTGTAAGAAACTTTTTTATGTGTGTGATCATATATATAAATATTTAAATTTGTATTACCAAATTGTAATAAAGTTCATATAAATATTTACTGCTATAATTTTATGTGGCATCATTATATTGGCTCCTAGAAGGTACAGTTCAGGTATCAGTGATGTGTAGGTTTGCATATGCACATNATGTAATAGTATTAATCAGTAAAATGGAAATAAATTAGATACACCTGAATGCTGTTTTCACATTTTATTTTGCATTGTCATGATTTAGGGGGGTTCTGTGTGGCTTATAGATGCGTTCTGGATTGGATGATTGGATTTATGGACACCTTTCACACACAACTCGGGACTACAGGCAATACAGTGCTATTGCTGATGTACACAGACTTTGCAGTTCACTGTTACATGCACTAGGATTTGCAATCTTCTCTAGTCGTATCCTGGTAATGGAATTTTCACAGTCTCACTGTAACTTCAAACCACACATCAAGTCTTCTTTGCACTGCCTGATTCCTCTCTTCCCATTTCTTCTCAATTACCTTGGACTGTCATCTCCATAGCTCGACCCAATTCTCAACAACTAACTCAAATGTACTCTCTCAACTACTGACAACTAACTCAAACAACCTCCTTTAACCCCTCGGCATGGACCATGCAGAAAATATAGCCTTTCTATTTTTGAGAAGGCTTGTTTACTGATCTGTTGCCTAGCAATGGGTCTATATGTCACAATATTAATATCCACATCTACCAAGGTATGTACTCACCAAGTTTCATATGCATCTGTAAATTATTGGATGATATGTGATTATTATTCTGGAGCCTTGTCCAAATGAATAACCCTGTATGTCAGTGCAGCACCACTGGTAGCAGCATGTAAGTAGGAAAGTCAAGGCTGATGCTGATTTACTTGAAATCAGTAGTGGCATAAATAAATAGTATTTTTTTTTTCTAAAATATCATGTTTGCTAGACACTTTGACTGATGATATAGTATGGGTGAGGACTCTCTCAGAGTTCTGAAGGTACAAATATTAGCTGTCTGCATTTTCAGAGTTGAAATGAGTAGGGTGGGTGTTTGTGTAATGTACAGGTTATTATTCCAGCACAGCTGCTGCAGGAGGGGGTGGGAACTGTGGATGCTGGTTCCTGATAGACAGGAAAAACTGAAACCGCTTTTTCTGAGGCCATGGTATGCACCTAAGAACCATCAGGAAGTGGTGTTCCTAAGCAATGCTTAGCAAAAACGTATAGTTCATGAACACTCATCATTGTATTCACTTTGACCCTGAAGATGGAGGCAGCATGTATCTCTGAAACATCAGCAACACTGCCCACGTCCACATGGTGCAGACCACAAAAGCAAAATTAGCATCAACAATTAACCACCATGAAAACCAAAAAAAACAGTAAAGATGCTTCGATTGTTACAGATGCAATAAATATGCCAGAGAACAAAGTGAATGCAACAACATTTTATGATGGTTTGCACTGATCTTCTGTATTGTAGAACCATAATTTTGTTCATTTATATGACTTTAGCTCAGTTTGGATAGTGACAGGTTATAGGCTGGACAGTTGAGGAATCAGGGTTCAATTTCTGGCAGGGGCAAAAGAGTTTTCTTTTTTCCACAAGGCCGAGGCTTGCTCTGGGGTTCACCCAGCCTCCTATCCCGTGAGTACTTCATCTTTTCCAAGGGGCAATATGACAAGGGTATGAAATTAACCACTCACCTGCACCTAGTGCTGAGGTTAAGAATATGTGGGTCCACACCTCCATTCCCACTCACGTATGTCTTCATTGCATGGTGCTTAATTAATTAAGCACAGGGACAGCCTTACCCTTTTTACCTTTATGTATTGTCACATATATTAGTGACTAAAGACAGTTTGGATTCGTAATTGGATTTATTGACCACTTACAGGCCATAACTACAATTAGTTCTTACACTATTGCTAATTTACACAATTTACAATCACTCCACACTAATCTTCTTAGTCTATTTCCACTAGTCTTCACTATTAATTACCTGGCAAAGGATTTGTAACACAGGAACTATAAAAGTCTCACTAAATTACACATTCCCAATATCAGTGTACTAGAGCACATATAACATCACACACTAAGTCTTCTAATTATGGTACATTAGGCTACAAGTGGCAGCAGTACAAGGGACTTAGTCCTACCCCACTAGCAGTAAAAAAAAAGATAAAGTCTTCTAATTCTTCTTCTGGCCACACTGCTGTTCCTTTGGAACTTCAGAACTCAAGTGAAGTGCATTACTCACTCCTCCAGCTTACAACTGCTTGCAAACAACTTTTGTTGTGCTCTATAAACCTTGGGCATGGACCCACAGAAAACACGTCACATGGTCTCTATCCACTGTTGTGTGATGTCACTGCCTATGCGGAAGTGTGTTTACTGAGCCATTGCCTAGAAACGGGTTGCATAACCCCACTGTTCTACTCTTGCATGCGTATAACGAAGGGTGTTTGTTGAGTCATTGCCTGGTAATGCATTGACATGTCAGTATGTTTATTTTGTACCAAATTTTGCACTAGGTATAATGGTTTATTAATTACAGTTATTGGCTGGAAAATTAAATATATATTTCTCATGGCCAGCATGTTTATACTTTACTTTCCAGAAAAAAATTACCTTAGTAAAGTTCAAAATTTTCAAAGTATTCATTCATTCATCTGTAATCTGTCAAGACAACAGGTCCACAGTCTCTTCCAAAACAGTTCCTCCACTTGATGCGATCTAGAGCTTTCTCCTTCAAATGAAAATATCCTCTTCTGTCCCCAAGGACATCCAGCATCTTCTTACGTCTTCTTCCTCGTCTTCTGGTCACTTCTATCCACCCCTCTATCTTTACTTCAATAACTTCTTTTAGAAGGCAGTTACCGCGTAAGATATGACCTATCCAATCAGCCTTCCGTTTTCTTATTTCGTGTAGGATATTCCTCTGCTCACTGACTCTAAATAACACTTCTTCATTTCTCACATAATCGGTCCAACTGATCTTCTCCATCCTTCTCCAACACCACATTTCGAAGCTTTCCAGGTGTTTTTGATCTACTGCCCTAAGTGTCCAAGTTTCAGCCCCATACAAAGCGATGCTCCAAACGTAGCATTTCACTAGTTTCTTTCTCAAATTTGAGTCAAATTTGCTGGTAAAAAGATTCTTCTTCTTGCTAAATGCAGCTTCTGCCATGGCAATCCTAGATTTAATTTCACACGTACACCTTCCATCATCTGTTAACAAGCTACCCAAATATTTAAAACATTTCACATTCTCCAGTTGTTTTTGGTCTATCTTTATTGTGACTGGGGTTGGTTGTCTCGAAATTTTCATTACTTTTGTTTTTTCCACATTCATTTCCATGCCATAGCACCTTCCAATTTCAATTAGTCTATCAATCATGCCCTGTAGCACAGTTTCTTCCTTAGCCATTAACACAAGGTCATCTGCATATTTCACAGTTTGAATAATTTGCCCTCCTACTTTGAAGTCACCGAGCCCATCCAGAGCTTCCTTGGTAAGGCATTCGCTGTACAAGTTGAACAGAATTGGTGATAAACAGCATCCTTGTCGAACTCCTCTTCCAATCTGCACACTTCCTGTCTCCCCCCTGTCCAGTCGTACTCTAACTTTCTGATCCATGTACAATTTGCTAATCAATCTTCTTTCATGCCAATCGATACCTGTTTCTTTCAGGATCTGCATTAATTTGGTCCAGTTTACCCGGTCAAATGCCTTCTGCCAGTCTATGAAGCAAACACACAGTTCTTCATCTATCTCCAAAGTTCGTTCTGCTATAATTCTCATCATCCCAATTGCATCCCTGGTTCCTTTTCCTCTTCTAAATCCAAACTGATCTTCTCCAAGTACATCCTCTATTTTCCTTTCAATTCTTCTTTTAAGTATCTTTGCTATTATCTTTGCTG